AGCTCTTTAGTGTAATTAATTTTGAGAGCTAGCTTGCATCGAGTCTAGTGGTTAGTGAGGCTCTTTAGTTAGTCTTTGAGAGCTCACTAACTTAGTGTAGTGACATAGCCATTGTGTGGATAGAGACTATAGCAACTAGAATTGTGGTAGGTGGCTTATATTTTTAGTAGGCTAATGCAACATTCACTTCGCTGTTTATTTGACTAATCACATTGCTTAAGTGTGGTTATAGAAATTTTTATAGGCTATTTACCCCCCTCTAGCCATTAGGACCTTTCAAGTGTATAGGTTCGAACCCCTTGTGCGTCACTTTTTTTTTGCGGAGCCGCTTCTTTTTGCATGGGGCCCATTTTCTTTAGCGACAGACAAATTGACAGTATACTTAGCTTTAGCGACAGACAGTTCAACGTTAAATATCAATATCTATAGCGACAGACAATAAATCGCTAAATGAGAAATTAGCGACAGATGGTATGTGAGTTATCTTTAGCGACATATCATCCATCGATAAATATAATTTTTAGCGTCAGATGTCTGACGGTGATGCGGTGTTGTGGTGTAGTGATATTCTAGATTAGTTATCACTGGTTAGCTAGTTGGTTAATACCATTATTAACTAGTTGGATACTTGTGTGATGTAAGACCATGTCTTTTGTAATGAATACTTACACACTATGTAATAATGGATTTGTCTTTGATATTACCCTTTATTTGTAACTAGATGTGTGATTTAAATTCCTAGGCACATATATAGGATCCTGATTTTGTTCTTCGAAACTGGGTGCTACAGGTAATGACTAATAGCTGCTTGCTCACGATCTTCTTTGTTTTGGCAACTGCAGGCAGCACAAGCTTCAAGCCGTGTGCAAAAGTGGGGCGGCAATGGCACTGATCAAGTCAAGCCTCTCCTGCAATAGAATTAGTGTAGTATCATTCAAGTTTATTTTTCTTGCTCCACGATACTTTGCCGCTGTAGGACATACCAGGCTCGTTTAAGTTGAATTGAATAATCATGCATGGGCACTGGTAAGTGTTGTACCTGAAATTGTTTGCACTTTGATGCACTATGTTTTGATTGAGCTGAAGTAGTTGGATTGCTGTGTAGTTGGATTTCTCTCTCCACATGACTATGAGGTGTTGTTGGATTGCTGTGTGTGGCTGAACTCTGAACTAGATGGCTTGAACCGTTGAACTCATACTAGATGTATACAATAATTCTTCGCTAGCACCTAGCAGTAGGTACAATGGTGGCAGGAATGTTGTTGGTCAGGCAGTAGGTACTTGTTGAGATGAGAGAAGATCCTTTAATTTGAGAAACTTTGAGTAGTGCAGTGGTGTAGAGTAGAGGTAACTAAGGATGGTGATTGAGTACGCTATGTATTTACAACTAATTATTTTTTTTAGTGGTAGACACACGTGTGTCGATATAAGACGATGGATAACTTCATCAATTTTAAATAAGATACGGTACTAGAGTTGGGCTCTATGTGGCTTTGGACTCAGGTCGACACAGGAAAAAAAGTAGTCTCATGCGCAACGTATACCTCTTGGCATCATTGGTAGTCATAAGCAAGCTCAATCAGTTTTGCCACGCACTTCGTCTGTAAACTAGTACTACTACTAATCCATCATCAACTCGGCCAGTTGTGGGTGATACATATGCAAAAGCCCCTATCAGCGAGAGCCGCTATTAATTTCTTCCCGTGGCAAGGGCATCATCGGTGGGCTGGATGCGAGCCTGGCAGGTTGGCGTGTTATGACAGGGTGCTCTCTTTTCTTTTTTTGTTTTTGAAAATGCACGTAGTTCAGTGACTTATCGTGGTCTCTTCTTCTTGGCCCATGACTAGCTTTAGAGCAAAAGACAGCACAAATCATGTGGTCTCTACCCATGTACACAGCTTACTTATCTTTGTCTATGTTCATTATTGGGTGAGTGTTGGCTCGCACAATCAAGATGTATTGGTAACAATATTCTAACACGTCCATTTCGCAGAGCAAAGCATCTTGGTTAATTAGGTGCGTATTTGGTGTAGACTTACGAGGTCAAGATCATGGCGAGTAATTTTTTTATTTTTATTGTATAAAAATAAAAATTAGGTGCGCGTTAGGTGTAGATTTGCGAGGCCATGATCGACGAGTAATTTTTTTATTTTTATTTTAAACAAAGGCAGCACTTAAGATGCTCGGAACGTTAAAAAGGATAGCCCCCATTTCGGGTTACATTACATGGTCAATTCTGAAAGAAAAAGAAAGCAGACAACGATATAGAAAAAAATAAAAGGAGTGGGCTTGGGCAGCCAAAAAAATTAGTCTGCTCGTGCTCCTGACACTAGCCATTTCGTGGGATTCCAAAAAAAACTACCTATTTTAGGGTGCCAACAAGTATTAGTAGCTCTGAGCATTATTGAATGTAGGAGTGGTTTCACATGATGTGACTAGCTAATTTGGCATCTGCTGCCTGGGTCGAAGGTCGTCAATTATTTTGGCTGTGCGAAGGAGAGATCCTTCTCCACGACAGATATTTGTTGCTTGCGGGGAGTTCTTGAAAGTGACGAGAGAAGTACAGTAGAAGCTTGTCAACGCAACCGTATCCAATAAAATAAAATATTAATCAATCTAAAAGGATTCCTTAGGTGTTTTTTAGGAAAAAAAATTAGAAACCTCTACAACCTCAATGACGCCCATATGTGGCCATGTACAAGTGAACGAGGACCAATCGATCGGTAGATTATTTTCTTCTTTGCCGTGTGATATTTGTGTACTGTGTCTTATGTACCATCAAAGCTTTGACACCCATGCTTAAAGTCTCTTGCGTTCAGAATCAAAACATTCAATGTGAAATCAACTCTGGCTTTAATTCCCCTGTAGACATCGAATTTTTCAGGTGTTCCTTATTTAATACAATCGGTCGTTCTCGTGCTCAAATTCGTTTAGAAAAAAAAAACTTTTTAAGCCCCGTTCGTTTCTTTGGGAATGAAGCTCAGGAAGAATTCCGGCCAAAATCATTACTTTAGGCCTGTTCGTTTCCTGGGGATTGGCCGGCCGCCGGGAAGAATTCCGGGCCGGATTCATTACTTAATTTATACTGAACTTTTCATATCAGGAATAGTTCCTCGCGTCATAACGGCTAAACGAACAGAGCCTTAATTTATATAAGCTCCACTGGCCGGATTCATTCCTGGCGTCAAAACGACTTAGGGCCTGTTCGTTTAGACAAGGATTAACCCGGAAATCGTTCCGGCTGCTGATAGCTTATGTAAATATGGCAAACAATCCGGCCAGGAACAGTTCCAGAGAGCGGTTCCGTGAGAAATGAACGGAGCCTTAACCGAACGAGCCCTTAAGGTTGTTATGTGATAGACAGTGGCTATCACATCACATGACCAGCGTTGTTACGTTACAGTGTTACCAGACTTGGGAACTAATCCCCGACGAAAAAGGGCTTTTTCTGTTTTTCTTTCGTCCAAAAGATATCTCCTTTTCCTCGGAAACCGGAAGAAAAAGAAAAGAAAAGAGTCTCATAAGATATTTGAAGGCAAACACTCACCGTAACGTGGGCCCAGAAGGCCGGCCCATGACATCGTCAAACGGTGATGAACTCGTCATAACACACAACAACCTGCCTGCCTTGTCATCCGCAACTCCATCCTCGCCGCCGCCTCCTCTTCCTGCGCTCCGCTCCACTGGTGGTAGGGAGTGCAGCAGATCCATCCCGTGGCCCGTTCCGATCCCTTCGCTGCTCGGTAAGGAGCCCCCTGGCCCTCGCTGCTCGGACGGATCGGTTCCCCCTTCTCGCGCTGGTGAATCGCAGCCACCACTCTGTTGTTCCGAATCCAATCCGCCCGCCGCCGCCGGCTCTCCTCGACTTCTTCCGTTTTTTTTTGATTGCTTGCTGCTGCATCGTGCAACTAACTCGTGCGTGCCTACCCTACCAGTTTAGGATTCATTCTTCGACGTTTGGGATTGGTTCGGTTGGGATGGCGCGTCGCCTGATTAGCCCCGCAGAGGCGTGCCGAGGCTGCGGTTTCGTTAGGCCCGGGTTTCTGGCCGCCTTCTCCTCCTTCCATGTGATTCCACTGCCCTCTATCTAAACGCTTGTCAGCAGTCACTGCCCTCCCCTCTCTGTGTCTCCATTCTTCTTCTTCCAGTCCTCCAGAATTTTCGATTCTAGTTACCAGGTCACTCTACTTGTTAGACCATGTTAGCATCTATACTAATAATATATTAACTTCGATAGGCACTGCAATTATCATAGACTAGCTGTTTTTTGCACTGTACATTTCATTCATGTCAGATTATGTTGCCTGCTTTGCTGACCGGGGATTCTTCCTCCATGTATTACGCTCTTTCTAGTGCTATTGCTGGTACATGCTTCTTCTGACATAAACAGATAAACTGCTTATTGTCTTGTAGTTGTCGTGACTAAGTGTTATATTCTGCAAGCCACTTCCTGTAGTCAGTGATTGCCTAGTGACCTCCTTCACTTTTTGGCAGTATCGAACCTTGCCATCGTGCTCACCGAAGAGGACTTCCTCAGTAAAGAGTTGCTTTAGCAACACTTACAATTTAAGGAAAGAGGTACCATTCCTCCCTTCTTTTTGTCGGATTCTTACTATAGTTTGTTGAATGCTGTTACCTGTTTTCAGTTAACATCTTTTTGTGTGTAACTAGTGCTAAGATATACCTTGTTTTATCCTGTTGCAGGGTTCACATTGGATACGATCTGAGTCTCCCTTGTCACTAAATGTTAGTGTCTTCCTTCATGCCAACTATTTGTTATCATTATATAATACATACATTTATGCATATATGTTGTGAGCTGGTATCTGCTAGGTTAGAAAATAGCTTGGTCCTACTATGTGTTAACAAGAAAAAAAAGAATTTTCTCTTGTTCTTCTCGAACACACAGGAGAGCTGAATTTTCTCTTTTGACTAGTAGGATGTAGTAATAACAGTGTATTTCTTTAATTTATTCAACTTGTGGCATGCAATGTGCCTACATGCCTCTTCCATTTATATTTTCCTTACCGTTTTTCATATCCATAATTCAGAGGGCAAAGTTTGTTGGCAAGAGGACATCTTGTTCTGTTGCAACAGAGCCGCCTCCTGCTGCCACTGAAGAACCAAACATGGATGCCCCCAAGGAGATATTCTTGAAAGATTACAAGGCACCTGATTATTATTTTGACACGGTAACTACATGCCTTTTCTAATTGCTTTCCCGCACAGCTTTCAGCATTTGAACGTTTGTTGTTAGAAATTCTCTAGTTGCTGTGCCCTATGTGAGGTTAGCAGTTTGGAATCCAGTTCCTGTTGGAATAGCTGTTGTTTTAGGCATGAACACAGTTTCCAACATAAACCTTTGACAGTTACTGTAACAAATATATCAGTAAAAGTTACACCTAGTAGTACCCAATCACTGATCTAGCCATTCATCCTAGAGAAACATGTTCTCAAATGGGGCTAGCATGTAGATAGATGTGCATACACATAGTAATCTACTTATCTTGATACCATCAGTCCATGTTTGGGCTATGTTTCTTGATTTTTTACTGTCACCTAATTCAACATCAGGTGGATTTGCAATTTCAACTTGGTGAAGAAAAGACCATAGTTACATCTAAAATAGCTGTGTCTCCTGGAGTTGAAGGTCAATATCTAACCTTGCAACTATTGTCCTGTACTTTCTTTTTATTTGGCAAAATATTATCATATGGTACCTCATCAAGGCCTCTGCATCTCTCTTGCATATCTTTTTTCTTCTCCATTATTTTTCCATTTATATCATGAGAAGTAACTTTGGAGCTTAGTGCTTAGATGAGCTTCTCAACTTTTTTACTAACTTTCAATTGTAATATATTGTAGCTGGCATCTCAGCTCCACTAGTTCTTCATGGGCGTGACCTCAAGCTGTTATCAATCAAAGTCGATGGCACTGAATTAAAGGTGATAATTAGTTCACATAGCGTTTCCGTTGTGTTTAGATGTTTTAAAATTACAGGATAACTGATTTCTTTGTCATCCTTATTACAACCAAACTAGTTTGAACATTGATAGCCATCTCCTCGTCTTCTTTTTAGATTAGATTCTGTTGGCACATATTTGTACAACAGTAGGTAGGATATATAGCATGTATTTGGGAAATACCTGACAGGAACATCGCACAATTAACAACAATGGTGGGAAGAACTCGTTTTGTTCCAACTCAGAATGATTGTATAATTTATAATCTTTCCAAGGGGGAAAAAGGTAAATCGGATGGAGGCTTGCACTTGAATTGCACTGGACAGATAACAGGGGGCCCATATGTTTGAAAAATTTGAAGGGATTGTGATGAGATTACAGAGGCATTTCCAGAGAAATAGTAGTTGTATATAGTAACATTCGGCAATAGCCAAGTGGTCTCTTGTGGTTTGTGACATTAGATTACTTGCTCCATTCTATCATGTTTTCCTGTCGCACTATTGATATCGGCAGTGAGTTAGTGGGATCCTGTATATTTCACTGGATATCTATCCTTAAAATATTTCTTAGTATGATAGGGATTGCCTAATACACAACACAGTTATCAGAAACCCTGCTGCAGTTAATATGTATTATTTTCTTTGAAAAAGTTTTGCCTAAAATACATACATTTTATTCTCCTACCCCTCACCTGCCTGTATCTACTTGATGATTAGGGTGAAGAGTATAAAGTCAATTCTCGCCATCTGACACTTTCAACACCACCTACTGGCATATTCAACTTGGAAATTGTTACAGAAATATATCCTCAGCTAAACACATCATTGGAGGTACTGACTGCTTTTAGAGGGATACAGTCCTACTAGCTAATCATTAGATATAATGTAGGCTAACAGCTAGTGTATCTTTTACTCTAATTTCTTGTACATTCACAGGGGTTGTACAAGTCTACTGGTAACTTCTGCACTCAGTGTGAAGCAGAAGGGTTTCGGAAGATTACCTTCTTTCAGGTAGGTATTACTTTCAGTAAAATTACTATATAGAATGGTGTTAAGGTTTAGCTACTGTTTATTAACATCAGATACCGTATATTGATTCCATGTTTGCTTGTGGTTTGATATATGACGCATCAAATATCATGTTGTCTCTATAAATATGATCTTTCATGAGGTGTTGATATTTGATTAATACATGTTCTTATTTGGAAATGTTGAATGTTATCACAGGATCGCCCGGATGTTATGGCAAAATATACTTGCCGTATTGAAGCTGATAAAACTTTGTATCCGGTATTATTGTCCAATGGGAATATTATTGAGCAGGGAGACCTTGAGGTACGCTAGCTTCCTAAGTCCTAATGCAATCATCACTCAGTAGAGCTAAGAAAGGGACAATCACTGTATGCCATTTTTCTTTTTTGCACTGTAGGGTGGAAAGCATTATGCACTGTGGGAGGATCCCTTCAAGAAACCAAGCTACCTGTTTGCTCTAGTTGCTGGTCAGCTGGGATGCCGAGAGGATTCATTTGTTACATGCTCCGGCCGCAACGTAACACTAAGAATTTGGACTCCTGCCCAAGATTTACCAAAAACAGCACATGCTATGTATTCTCTTAAAGCAGCAATGAAGTGGGATGAGGAGGTTGCTCCAGATTCATTGCCTATAATTTCCCTGCAGTTTCTTTAGTTCAAATCAGATAGCTGATTTAGTTCTACCTCTTCATGCCACCTGCCAGGTCTTTGGTCTGGAGTATGATCTTGATTTATTCAACATTGTTGTTGTTCCTGATTTCAATATGTAAGTTCTTTTCCTATTTTTATCACCATGCTGCAGTATATTTTGGGGAGTGTTCTTTTTCTTTCCTCTATAGGGGTGTGGGTTTAACTTGTGGAACTTGATACTTTGGTTAAATGTTAACAAGCCAATTGCCCAGTTGTACAATATAGCATGACCCAATCAGTCTATTGATAAAGGTAACTCTGTTAATTGCAGGGGAGCAATGGAAAACAAAAGCTTGAATGTAAGATTTCACCTTTCCTTGGAAAATTTCGCACATCAATTTGTTTTTAACACTGGTTTATGAATGAACAGATATTTCAATCTAGACTTGTGTTGGCATCACCAGAGACTGCCACTGATGGTGATTATGCTGCAATTTTGGGTGTTGTTGGTCATGAGGTACATACATTTGTAGATATATATCCGTTCTTTCTTTTTTATTGAATTCAATTATACTTACAGCTTGTTGCTTTTCCAGTATTTCCACAACTGGACTGGGAATAGGTAACTGTCTTCACGATATCACAATAATGGATATTCTTTTTATTTGCAAACTATCATAACTTGTATTTAATTCCTTCATGACTGATTAAGTGATTAATATTTGTTCATCTTTTCACTTCTTTTTCTCTCTCTCTTATCTCATTATTATTTTTTTTCTTTTTATTGAATTCAATTATACTTACAGCTTGTTGTTGTTGTTGTTGTTGTTATCTCATTAATTGGTGCTTTTCCTTGAGATCAAAGCCATGCACGCTATAGCTTGGGATGGCTGAATGGGAATGATTTTTTTTCCTAGCAAAAGGAATGATTTTCTTATCTCTATGCTGTTGCAGAGTAACTTGCCGTGATTGGTTCCAGCTAACCCTGAAAGAAGGACTGACTGTTTTCAGGGATCAGGTACTCAGGCAGTCGGCCATGTGTTAGCTGCTGCTAGTTTGTTTGTTCATCTTACTCTTCTAATTAGATTATTTGTGTAGGAGTTCTCTTCGGATCTTGGCTGTCGTACGGTAAAACGTATTGCTGATGTCTCCAAACTCAGAATCTATCAATTCCCACAGGTTTTCTTGATCTACTCTATCACCGCATTCTTGTTAGATTGTTGCTGAATGAAGTAAACTGCAGCATGCGGCAGCATGATTTTATTTGACCAACCTGTGGCCTCTTCCCTTATATCCAGGACGCTGGGCCTATGGCACATCCTATCCGCCCCCATTCCTATATCAAGGTGCTAATGCTCAATTGTTCTGTGATTTGAATTCATTTACTCTATGTTGCTTTGAACCAGAAATAAAGATATGGTTTGTAACTTTTTAAATTTCACTGGCAGATGGACAACTTCTACACTGGTGAGTTTTGTTCTCTAAAATTGGCTGCATACAGTGAGATGCACAAAACCATCAACTGATTTATTATCCATCTCCTGTTGAACCATTGAAACCTCATCTGATGAATCTACCCCTGGTGACTTTGATTATGAATAACTTGCCAGTGACGGTACGTATTTTTCATCCTGTTCCCTGTTAAGCAAACACTGTGAGAGTTAATGATTAAAGCTCTGACATTCTTTTTTGTTGCTTTCTTTGTTCCTTCATTCATCCAACCATTATGGGATTCATCTCAGGTTTACGAGAAGGTTCGTTTATGTAACTTTTTCCAATTTCCATGCATTGATAGAAAATGGCAATGAGATGTGACCTGGTCATGTACTTGCTATAGGGTGCTGAAGTTGTCAGAATGTACAAGACCATGTTTGGAGCATCAGGGTTCCGGAAGGTAAAATTCGAGTTTCGACCTAAAATGCGAGGGTACAAGTGTTGTTATGAACCGTAGTTCGTTTGGGGATAACCATTGGCAGGAAGATAGCTGACCAAAGTCGGCCTTGGAGAGGGACTAGATTTTTTTTTGGTGTGTGTGTGTGTTGGGGGGGGGGGGGGTTGTTGTGTAGATTAATTGTTCTTCGTTGCCTCGTTGCTTTACATCACCTCCCTTTACATAGAGGGTGTTCCTCAACTCCCAAGTAAGGCCCAATCAAGTCCTAATAAATCACTGATCCAATCCCTATATTTGATCCTATGGGCTTCTGGCCCCCTAGTTGACACCCCATAACAAGTGTACAATGTCATCTCCATTTAAACTTCAGCATGATCTCTAATACACATCCATGACCATTACTTTTCTAATTATATGTTGGCAAAACACAAACAATATAAAATTACTTTTCATGTAAATCTGCACTTACCTATTTATACGCTACAAGCTAGCTAACTTTATCCATATCAGTGATCATAGTTTCAAAATTTTTCTTCAAGAATTTCTTTGTGCATCATAATTCTACAATAAGTTGATGTTTCTTAAATGTATAAGAAAAATTTGTGATATTACCTTGTACCGTGAATCCTGTGCATGTAATGTTTCCCATGGGATGTCTCCTTCTGTTGTTTAATGTGTTGGTACAATGTTGTACACATATTTGGTTTATTTACCACGTTGTTTTCCCCTGCAGGGCATGGATCTTTATTTCCAAAGGCATGATGGGCAAGCTGTCACTTGTGAAGACTTCTATGCAGCCATGTGTGATGCAAATAATGCACAACTGCCAAACTTTTTACAATGGTAGTAGACATTTCTTTCAATCATGTTTTTTTAGGGTTACTTGTGATCACTATCTAATTGTAAACCATCCAATAGGTACTCTCAAGCAGGTACGCCTATAGTCAAGGTGGCATCTTCATATGATCCTAGTTCTCAGACATTCTCTTTGAAATTTAGGTAAGCTTCCACATTCCCTAGGTTTGAGGTACTTATTGACCTTTAGTACTTACGATTAGATATATGTTGAACTATTGTTCCAAATTCTCTATTTACATTCATTTTCATTGATGCTAGTGCACTTGGGTTTTACATACCCTGATAATGTTTCTTCCTATATTGTAGTAATTGGTGAAAATAGTACATTTCTAAACCATCTGCCTTTTCTATTTTTTCAGTCAAGAGGTACCACCCACTCCTGGCCAACCGATTAAGGAGCCTATGTTCATACCTGTTGCTGTTGGACTTGTTGACTCTACTGGAAAAGATATGTCCCTCACTTCCGTTTACAGTGATGGAACTGTCCAAACACTCTCTGCTGATGGCCAGCCAGTCTTCAATACTGTGCTTCAGTTTAAAAAGGTAAAAGCAACCGTGATTATCTTCCTGCAAGCTTTCCCCTCAAGAAACACTTAATTAGCATGGTTCGATTTGTGAATCTTTTGCATATTGTGCAGTTAGGCTGGTATTGGTTCATTCAGTGCTATGCTGTCGATACTCTACTACAATTGTGACCTTTTTATTTTTTTTATTTACATTCATCAGAAGCCCTTTGTAAGACCTCAAATTATGTGCATTAAGATTTTTAGTCAGTAACTGGCCTGTGGTTGCCTGTACATAGGCACCGTTGTAGTTTTCTAGTTGTATCAAATTTAAGCGTCGCTTGACATTTTTTCTGATACTCGAATGTGCTTTTATATTATTCAGAAGGAAGAAGAGTTTATATTTAAAAACATTCCCGAGAGGCCAGTTCCTTCTTTGTTGAGGGGATATAGTGCTCCTGTCCGTCTAGATTCTGATCTGAGTGAGAGTGACCTATTTTTCTTGCTTGCCAATGACTCAGATGAATTTAACAGGTATGTTCTGGGTCATGATGCTAAAGATATTTTCGTTTTCTATTAAAGAGTTCAATCTAATGATCTGTCTATTCCCTAGATGGGAAGCTGGCCAAGTTTTGGCACGTAAGTTGATGCTCAGTCTCGTAGTTGACTTCCAGCAACAGAAAACACTGGTCCTAAATCCAAAATTTGTTGATGGGATTAGATCAATTTTGCGCAACACAAGCTTGGATAAGGTAAAATTATTTGCGGCTATTCTAATCTATAGGATACACTTCAATTATAAAATGGCTATTGTATTCTGTTACAGGAATTCATTGCGAAAGCAATAACTTTGCCTGGTCAAGGGGAGATTATGGATATGATGGAAGTTGCAGATCCTGATGCAGTTCATGCTGTCCGTAACTTTATTAAGAAGGAGCTTGCCTTGCAACTTAAAGATGATCTTCTTGCAGCTGTAAGTGGCCCCGGCCAAGTTGCTACTATCTCTGTACCAAAAGACTTGGCATTCTAGTTTTGTTCCAAGTCAAACTATCTTAAGTTTGCCAACTTTATAAAAAAATGTACCGATATTTATATTGCCAAATAAGTACTGTTAGATCCATCATGAAACATATTTTTCATAGTATACCTATTTGGTGTCATTAATACTGACAATCTTCTCTATAAACTTGGTCAAACTTAAAGCAGTTTAGACTTAGCACAAATCTGGAAGACATGTTATTTGTGATGGACGTAGTATTTGTTTGTGTTATTCTTGTTCTCCCATGTATCAGCTTTTCATTTTAACTTTTTGTTAGGTGAAAAGCAACAGGAGTTCTGAGGCTTACACATTTGACCATGATAGTATGGCTCGCCGTGCATTGTAAAAATACATGCCTTGGTATGTTTTTCTTTGGCAAACTTATTGCGCTCCAACTGAGGAATCACGTTCGCGAGAACATCACCTAATGCAAGTTTTCTGATGTTCCTTGTAGCATACCTTGCATCACTGAATGAGCCAGATTTCACTGAGCTTGCACTGCATGAGTACAAGTCTGCGACTAACATGACAGAGCAGTTTGCTGCATTAGCAGCATTATCCCAAAATCCAGGCCAAGTTCGTGATGATGCCCTCTTGGACTTCTATAACAAGTGGCAGGATGACTACTTGGTAAGATACATGACTGCTTATACTATATCTGTTATTGATAAATGTTTTTCTGAACTAATGTAGCACACATGTTCTTTGAAAAAAAAATGTAGCACACAAATTAAGTGGGGGTACCTGTTGTTTGTTTGTTTTGCTCTGATAGGTTGTAAGCAAGTGGTTTGCTCTTCAAGCTACTTCAGAGATTCCTGGAAATATTGCAAATGTTCAGAAGCTGCTGTCTCACCCTGCTTTTGACATGAGGAATCCCAACAAGGTTCGTGGTGCATCAGCTTAAATTGTCATGTGGACTTTGAGCACCTGACTAAGATATGATTTTTTTTTAAACTCAGGTGTACTCGCTAATCGGGGGATTCTGTGGATCACCTGTGAACTTCCATGCGAAAGATGGTTCTGGGTACAAGTTTTTGGGTGAAATCGTTTTGCAGCTTGACAAGATAAACCCTCAGGTTAACATCGAGCACTGTTCTCCTGTCATATGGGTCACGCTCAAATGTTTGAAGAATTAATAGCTAATGTGGTTTGTTCGTGGGTGTGAAATCAGGTGGCCTCCCGCATGGTTTCAGCATTTTCTCGGTGGAGGCGATACGACGAGACCAGACAAGCTCTTGCCAAGGTGACGTATTTGTGTGCAGTCTATGTAGAGTCCAATCGATAGGGCAATTTTATTTTGTTTTTTCATAAAAAAAAAAGATAGGGCAATGGGCCAATGGTAGTTACACCTTGCTTCATTTGTGGCGCAGGCCCAGCTGGAGATGATCGTGTCAGCCAATGGACTCTCCGAAAACGTGTACGAGATTGCTTCAAAAAGCTTGGTGGATTAGTTTTGGGCAGTTCCAGGGTAGTGCGAGCGGGAGTGCTTAACTGAATATATCTCTTTTGTTGGCATATTTAATGACTGGTAGAGTAATAAACAGGCGTGCTGAAGTTGCATGGACTGAACAAATATAGTGTGATGATGCCCGCTTTGTGGGGGTTTGGAGCATGCATGCGCTCGCTCGTCTGTTGGAATGCAACTGCTGGTTTTTACCTGCTGCGCTCACCGCTCAGCGCCTCAGCGGGCCGCTGTGGGGCAGAAAACATCTGCAGCACAACGGCTGCTCTGTGCCTCTGTGTCTCTGTTTCTCTCTCGAACTCACTGTTATAATTATCGGTCATAATTATCGGTCGGTCTTCTGGAGCCCCAGACCTGAACCCTTGCTTTGCTGGCAGCTCTGGGGACTGGTAAGGTTTGGAGCTTTCCAACAATGCCAAGGGTCTTCTAGCACACTCCAGCAGGGGCAGGTTGCAATGAGTGTTTTTTGGTCTTTTTGGTCTTGATTTGATGCCACCGTATTTGTTTGTTTTGCTAGTCTTAATAATACAAAGGTTTATATTACTGTATTATTCGTAGATTTTACTCAGAGCAAGGCATAATTGGGAGCATTGGTTTCGTAGATTTTATTCAAAGCCGAAAGCGATTGGACTCTGGTGGTGGACTGGTGGGATACTGGGATAGGAATAGGATGGGACGGGACATAAACGAAAGGCTTCGTGAGTCGTGATGTGGTGCTCTTGGTACTACTACCAATGGATGGACGCAACCGGAAGAGAAGACAGGACCGGGCTAAAAGTTCTTCGAGCTGCGCGTCGAAACCGTGTGCCGTGTGCGCGTGTGGTGCCCGCCACGCCACACAGCATCAGCATCTCTGATCTCTCGGCAGTGGAAGCATCAGCACGGGACGGGCGGGACGCTTTCCGATCCGTGGCATCAAGCATGCATGCTACTCCTGCCTATAGCATCGCCCAATTGCAGGGTAGCATAGATCGCATCTACTCGTCCGTCCCAAATAATTGATGCTTTCCAAATATTTCAAAGTACTTGACGTATCCGAGGGTTTGATCGGTTTGCGGCCAAAATTTACCATATCAAGGATTTTGCAAGCCATGATTTTAGCTATTGTTTGGTTTACCACCAAAACTTGCCAACCTCTCTTATTTAGCTTGTCAAATTCATGGTAAAATTTTTACCTAACTTTGGTTTGTCAAATCTATAGCATGGCAAATTTTGGTTGCAAACCGATTAGGCCCCAAACACACATTTCTCTTTTTCTAGCACTTTGACGTCTTGTTGTACCAGTTAGGTGATTGGAGGAGTCTTTGACGAAGAGATACATACATCTCGGCAAACGGCAAACATCCTGGCCCTGTTCGTTTCACTAAAATTTGGCTTATGCTGATTTGTTGTGAGAGGAAAACGCTATTTGTTTGCTGAAAAGTACGGCCCAAATATTTGAGGAAGGGGCTGTGTCCAATAACCAAGCAGAAAGCATCTAAGGAGTGGACGGAGTAAGCAAAGTATAGTCATTTTCTGCGGGAGAGTCAATAAACTTAACCACTAAGAATATTGTTTTTAGAGTCAATAAACTTAACCACTAAGAAAATTGTTTTTTTATATATATCTATATCATACTTAGGGAGAAAAGAAAGGAAAACTGACGCCCATGCAATCGACCGTTCAAACGCAACGGCTCAAAGAAGAAGAAACCGATGAGCAGCCGGACAGCCTTTTCTTTACTCCATTTAGGTCAAGCTCGGCGTCTCAACTGTCCGTCCGTCTCCGTCCCAAGGCCAACCGCCACCTCCCCAACTGACAGGCAAGCCCCACACCTCAACCTCCGCCCACTATTTATACCCTCCCCTCCCGTCGGCATCTTCCCACTCGCTCATCAGCGATCCTTCCCGAGCGTCCCATCTCATTCAACCCCATCCCCGCCCCCGCAGGCAGGCATAGCAAAAGCAGCCGCCATGGGCTCCCGCTACGAGGTGGAGGTGACGGTGGGGTCGGCGAGCAACCTGAAGAACGTCAACTGGCGCAACGGCGACCTGAGGCCGTACGCCGTGCTGTGGGTGGACGACGACGGGCCCAAGTGCTCCACCCTCGTGGACCCCGACAACGGCGAGGACCCCGCGTGGGACGAGAAGGTCGTGGTCCCGGTGCCCCCCGCCTCCGCCGCGCGCCTCGGCGACGCCGTCCTCCACGTCGACGTCGTCCACGCCGCCAGCGGCGACGACGAGGACGTGAAGCCGCTCGTGGGCTCCGCGCGCCTCCTGCTCCGCGACGTCCTCGACGACGCCGGCGGCGCCGTCGGCGGGCCCAAGGTCTCGCGCACCCTCAGGCTGAAGCGGCCCTCGGGCCGCCCGCAGGGCCGGGTCGAGGTCCGCGTCGCCGTCCGCGAGGCCCCGCCCCCGCGCTACTACGACCCAGCGCCCGCGTACGGGAACCCCGCCGCCGCCGCCGCCCGCGACCCGTACTACGCCGCGCCGCCGGTGGGGTCCCCGGCCGCCGCCGCCGCCGCTCCTCCTCCCTACGGTGGTGGTTATGGAGCCGCGGCGTACGGGGATCCTGCGGCCGCTCCGCCTGCCCAGAAGAGCAGCAAGATGGGGATGGGGACAGGGCTGGCAGTGGGCGCCGCGGCGGGGCTGCTGGGCGGCCTGGCGCTGGCGGAAGGGGCGAGCTACCTGGAGGACAAGGTCGAGGATCGCGTCGCCGAGAGGGTGGAGGAGGAGACGTTCGGCGACGGAGACTACGACGACGATTACTAGAAGCAAGCAAGAGACGTGCACACGGGTGCGAAGTATCAAACCGAAATCCACGCAAAAAATCGAGTAGCTCAAATCAAATGCATTCAAATAAGTGAGGTAACCCCAGTGGAAAACAAAACATGAAAACTTGAACCATGGCTCTGTTAATCCCCAACCCAACCATTTGATCCGAGTACTTTTGTTTGATTGTACAATTTGAACCGTATCTATCTTGCTTTCCATGTCGTACGTGGGCGCCTATCTTTTTTTCAGTCTGAAAAAGAAAGATGTCAGTGAAGGCCGCATGACCGTACCCTGTACAATCATATATACACTACATACATCATGACCTGCAACAGCGATAATGCTTGCATATATAAGATAAGATTCCCGGTTTTCAATTTTCGTGCAAATAAGTCCAGCATCAACATACTCTGTACAATCATATATAATGTAGTTCTCCATAATGAAATTGGTCTATTTCATCTGTCCAAAGTGAGGAAACTAATCTTTCTCTTCTATCTACTCCATCCGTCCTGAAATATAGTGCATTCTGACATTTGAAATTTATCCTCAAATATAATGCATTAGGGGAGTAAGAAGATAATGTTTACTTAAATAAAATACGAGATTATTTTGTATAAGGAAAAGTAATTCATGTACTTGCCATAGACGCATAAAAAGACTAAAAGTTCACCCTTTAATCATGCGAAAAGAATCAGATTTCAATACATTAGGAAGGTAAGTGAGGGGTACATACGTCTATTGCACTCTCTCTTATTTTGTCTGAAAATGACCAAAATGCACTAAATTTGAGAACCGAGGGAGTATTGTTTTCATATTCGTCATTACAATACCTTAAAATGTAACTGACATGTGCCATCTATGTACGTCCTCCCTTTGACTATTGTTGAAAAGATGGATAGAACTAGAACAAGATTATTTTGGCAAGGGTTTGGGATGAGAAGAAAGTACCATCTTGTATAATGGAGTATTATATAACCAAGCCCAAGAATAAAGAGGGGCTGGGGATTCAAGATCTGAGAAAAATGAAACATAAGTCTATTATGTAAGTGGTGGTGAAACTGAAAAAATAAGATGGGATTTGGCAGGAAATTGTGAGAAAGAAATACATGAAACGTAAATGTTTGACCTAAGTTACCCATAAAAGCATATAATTACCTTGTGTGGAATGACCCCATCAAAATCAAGCATATCTATCTATTTGACAGGAAAGTCCATGATTGTGGGGAATGGTAAATCAATTGATTTTTGGTTGGATACCTAGTGGGGAAAGGTATTACCTAAAGGATGAATTTCCTGATCTATATGAAATTTGCAATAACCAAAGTTGTTCGGTGAATGAGTTAACAGTTAAGTACCAAAATTGGAGATTGAGTTTTGGGCAGAAGTCGAAAGGTTGTCCGTTGTCTCCGCGTAGGCGGAATGTGGACGTGCAGGCTACCGCCTTGAATTGATCGGGCTCGGGCACGGTGGCACTGAGGAGCTCAGTGTATCATGGGCCGGGGCTACGAGTATCGAGCGGGCCAGAGAAATACTGCCGTCTCGAAGAAAGGCTGGACTTGGAAGACCCCCGAACCCGAGTGGCTCGAAATGCTCCTGCCAACTCTAACACGTATCGCATTCAACCGCGTCACATGCGCGCTGGTAGCAGACTAGTACTCTCCCTAGTCCCCTATGTTAAGTACCCTACTCCTCAGCCAACTCTGGCTTGTTCACCAGCTAACATTAAGATTATATTTGGCATGGGTTTGGGATGAGAAGCCGCATACCCGCTTTTTGGCCCGGTATTATATAACCAAGCCCAAGAATAAAGAGGGCTGGGCTGATTCAAGATCTGAGAAAAATGAAACATAAGTCTATATGCAAGTGGTGGTGGAAACTGAAAAAATAAGATGGGATTTGGCAGGAAATTGTGAGAAAGAAATACCCCCTGCCGTAAATGTTTGACCCTGGTCTCTCCCTACCCATAAAGGCATATCCCTACCCTGTGTGGGAATGACCCCATCAAAACCATGCATATCTATCTCATCATGACAGGAAAGTCCATGATCCTGTGGGGAATGGTAAATCCCTTGATTTTTGGTTGGATACCTAGTGGGGAAAGGTATCTCCCTAAAGGATGAATTTCCTGATCTCCCTCCAAATTTGCAATAACCAAAGTTGTTCGGTGAATCCCTTAACAGTTAAGTACCAAAATTGGAGATTGAGTTTTGGGCAGAAGTCGAAAGGTTGTCCGTTGTCTCCGCGTAGGCGGAATGTGGACGTGCAGGCTACCGCCTTGAATTGATCGGGCTCGGGCACCGCGGCACTGAGGAGCTCAGTGTATCATGGGCCGGGCCTACGAGTATCGAGCGGGCCAGAGAAATACTGCTGTCTCGAAGAAAGGCCCCGAACCCGAGTGGCTCGAAATGCTCCTGCCAACTCTGCCACGTATCGCATTCACCCGCGTCACATGCGCGCTGGTAGCAGACTAGTACTCTCCCTAGTCCCCTATGTTAAGTACCCTACTCCTCAGCCTACTCTTCCTTGTTCACCGGCTAACATGGTCCCGCTTGTCTTATAATGGCTACTTTTCAGCTTGTTTTTTTTTATTGAAATAGTGTTTTTCTCTTCTAATAAATTAGCCGACCCCTATCGGGCCGTGTTTACGCGGGCCGGCCCGTTTTTTTCAAGGCCGGCCCGGCCCGTTGGCCATCTATAATTAAGGGCTACAATATGTGGCTTTTGAAAAAACAGTTTCGGCACCTCTGTTTTTTCATCCGAAAACCGCTCTTCCTACAAAAATACCTCTACATAGGAGCCATAACCTGAAAACTGTGTAGGAATTCTAACAAACTGGCTCTATGTTGGGCACCCACTCGTGAACGACAATTTGGCAATCGACATACTCCTATCTATAATATATATACTCTCTAGCTAGAAATCAAACTATTAGTGACGCGAAATGTTGTTTTTTCTTACCTGGTAAGCGTGCTCCACCACTACCGGAGCCCGGAGGCTATCTATGCTGTTGTTTTCCGTGACAGTCGTCGTTACGCTCGATGCATGCATGCATTGCAGGCATCCGCATGAGCGGTGGATCCACATATATCGCTGTGCATTTGATATATAGGCCGTGCAGTGCTACCCAGGCCAGCTTGATACTATAACATCCATCCAGCCATAATCCATCAATGGTACCACCAGTTCGTGCAGTGTCGACCATGCATATGCTAGCGTTCCTCCTTGCAAGCATTTAGTACTCTCTCTCTATGACTTTTCTAGATAAACTAGACATATGCTCGTGCGTTGCACGGGCAACGAATTTGTATCTATTTATGCAACAATGCACGTGTCTTATAGTTTAGACAAACATATTAATATTTTTTTATGCATATCTACGACGATGCATATGGCTTGTGATTTAGGCGAACATATTAAGAAATATACAAATTTGATTACGTAAAGCAAATTTCATGATCTTTATGACATATATCATGTAGATCTGGTTTATAGAAACCAAACAAAATTAGTTTCATTTTTTAATTATCATTTATGTGTCTTATTATTATACATTTTCAAAATTTAATTAAATCTAATAAACATTTTTGTATTGAAATCCTAAACTATTTCTAAATTCATCCCGCTTTTCTTCTTCTATGTGGACGTGGTAGACTAATGGGCCAAGTTGTTACGTGTGGGCATCAGATGAATCACCACGCAACGGAGTCATCTGTTACGTGCTTGCAGGAGGTCTGTCCGTTCGGCCCACGGGCCACAACACATCGTTCCTTCGTTCATGCTCTCGCACGAGGGCGAGCGGGTTGTAGACGCGCGGCCTCACGCGCACGACTAGGCGTGGGCGCAGAGCCGCAGACGCGCAGGGCACACGCGCACGGGCGGGCGAGTGGGGCGAGCGTTGGTAGGTGCCCACCACCGGCGGCACAGGCTAGAACTAGGGAGCGGAGCACACGGCGAGCACGTCGCAGAGCGCGGCGAGCGCCACAGATGGCGCCAGGACTTACTGTAGCATCGCGTCGCCCACGTCTATGGCGAGACACACACTCCTGCGTATGCCGTGACTACGCACGGCAGCAGCCAGCAGGTCGCAGGTGTCCGCCGCTGTCGCCGCAGGCTGTAGCTAGAGCGCACGCGCGGGCATGTTTTTTTTGTGGGGAGATGGGGCTCGATGGGCGGGGCGACGAGGGAGCTTGTCGGATTCACATACCGGACTCGCCATTATAAGCTGGGGTGGAGCAAATTAACTTGGCATCCGAGCGACGCAGACTCTCGGATGTGGAGCCACGGGGGCGGGGAGGCAGGAGTGTGTGGATTAAGCTAGGCGAAGTGAAATAACTTGACATCTGACTATGACGTTGGGAATATTTTAGGTGTAGAGATGAATACGTGCATGATCTGTTTCGTCGGTGTCAGCAAAGATTTTCTGTGTATGAGTATGAATATGTGCGTGATCTTTTTTGTTGTCATAAGCAAAGCCCTTGCCGAATTTCTCTGTTTGAATATATGCCTGATGTGTTTTATCTATTTCATTGGCATCTAATCAGTCCTTTATATGATTTTCGATGTAGAAGAGTTTGTTTCGGAAACGTTTTTTGTTGTATATGATTTTCGATGTGGAAGAGTTTGTTACCAAAAACAGTTTTTTTGCCATATATATATATATATATTTGTTTTTTTGCCATATATGTTTTTATTTCGGAAACATCTTTTTTTTGGCCGTATAATAGAAACGTTTGTTTTTACCGGATAGTGCAGGGGCGGGGGACAGACGATAGCAGTAGGAATATTTTAGGTGTAATAGATATATTATTTTTAATATATATTTAGATATAATATATATCTAAATACTTAATAAAAATTATTTATTTAAAAAATTAGAATAACTTATAATTTAGAACGGGTGAGTACTGTTGATTCTAAGTATTATATATTTAGCTTTGGCTCCATGAACCCTTACTCCTTTGGTCTCAAAAAAGAACTTACTTTTCATAAATCAT